CCTGGTAACGAAATGTTTGGAAACCAACCCACAAGCTCGGAGAACAAACCTCCACCCTCATTCTCCCCCCGAGCCACAGATAATCCCCACTATTGCATATATTAAATTTATTTACTCCAATTTCATTTTAACTTATTTTTATGGGATTTTTATTAATACTTTGTGTTTGGAATTCTGTATGTGGAAACGGCCTAGGGCAGGGGTAGGCAACCTTGGCTCTTTTATGACTCATGGACTTCAACTCCCACAATTCCTGAGCCAACATGGCTCATTTTGGAAACCTCTCCCTTTCCCCTCAGCATGGCTGGCTCAGGAATTCTGGGAGTTGAAGTCCATGAGTCATAAATGAGCCAAGGTTGCCTACCCCTGGCCTAGGGGCTAATCAATAAACTAACAAACCTTTTTTTTCCCTAGACATGTGGGCAGGATTCCACATATCACCATTTTTGTCAGCTTTCCAATATTGGCCAGAAGAACAGTTACAAATAAAGACAATAAAAAGTGATTGTAAACTGAGGACTACCTATTTTTGTTGTTCACAGAACACTTCGGAAACTTCTTTTGAGCAAAGAAGGTGGTAAGTCTAGAATTTACACGGTGAAAATTTCCCACCTACCAACGTCTGTGATTTTTATATGGGGAGGAGTTGAGTCAAACAAGCCCTGATGGCACAAAATCAACCAACTAACCAACCATCCAATTAATCAATGAATCTTAGTCTACTTTTAATTGAATTGTCCGACAAAAAGGGCAATTATTTTTTGACCCTGGCCTGTTGAATGTTGGATGACTTTATTTATGAAATAAATCAAAAGAGAAGTCAGCTTTGTTGTTAGTTGTTCGCTCAAAAGTTTCTTTACGCATCACTGCAGCCCATGTGAAACTTTTGTAACATTCAGTGTAAAAAAAATATACAAACATTCAGAAAATCCAAAAGAAATCTAACAATTACCATATAACTGCATTGATAGCACCTTTCCATTCTAATCTTTGGGTTTATCTATTCCAAGCTAATAATAAACATGAAACTGAGAATATTAATTTTTACATTACTTCATGTCTTAAGGATTTTCTTGAACAATGCTAAGCATGATTTTAAGAGAAATCATAGCAACAACATTAAGCCACAATTTCTTCAGTTAAATTGGGCCTCTCCCTTGTTCAGCAATTGTCAGATTTTATAGGTTAACGTCAACATCCAGCTCTAGAATCCAAATAAAACTCCAGGTTCATTCTGTCTCCGAAAATCTTACTGTTTATTGAATACACTGCATGGTTATGTTGAAGCAAAACTAACTCTGAGGTTCCAACACTAATTCCTGGACTTAAACAATAATTTCCCCAGCCAAAGCCCCAACGTCTTACGTAGTCCATATTTAGCAAGTTCACTTTGTTATGGGAACCATCTGCTTCAAATCTACACCTGTTCTGATGTCCTTGAAAAGGCTTCAGGCTTTCATGGTCTTCAGCTGAATCGTAGAAGTTTCGTTTCTCCATCTAACCCACTTGAAAGTAACACCTCCCCCTCCCCCTTAATCTAAAGGCAAGTTGAAACACACAGGCACGTAGCTGCCAAAGTTTCATCCTCGACAGTTATTAATAAAGTCCCTTTTGCGACTCTGTAATCCCTTAATTTGGGGTAGAGTTGGGGTGGCTGGATGGAGCTGAGCATTTACTAGCCAGATGCCCTTCCTGATGCTACACAGAGTCCGCAGTAGATATTTTTTTCTTTGTATCCTAGAACAGAGGTCCCCAACCTCGGCAACTTTAAGACGTGTGGATTTCAACTCCCCGAATTCCTCAGCCAGCCAAGCTGGCTGAGGAATTCTGGGAGTTGAAGTCCACACGTCTTAAAGTTGCCGAGGTTGAAGACCCCTTGTCCTAGAAGAAAAACATCTGCCACTACCTGGGACAGAACTCTCAACCTTTGTGGGAGGGAGCGTCTTTGCCACTAGGTCACCACACTGCTCATCTCTATGTTACCAATGTTTGGATTTATTTAAATATATATATAATCTGAATTAATAAAACTATTCTTTTCTTGATTTAGGACTCTAATCTCTGAGATCAGTTTTCAGATTACATAGTTCATGGCTACCATCCTTGTTGCCTAATTTCCTAGGACAGTGATGGTGAACCTTTTAGAGATCGAGTGCCCCAAAACTGGCCCCACCCCCGCTTAATCCCCTGCCCCGCCCCCACTCCCACCCCGCCTGTCCACAGGGCCACTCACCACCTCCAGGGCCCACCGCAGCTCGCCCAGGCAGCCCAGCAGTGCCATGGCAGCCACGCCCTCTGCCCGCACCCCGCAGCATCAACTGTGCATGATGGGGCGTGAGGGCAGTCTTATCTACGCTGCCTGGCTGCCATGTCCTTGGCTGCGCTGCTCCACGTGGGCCACGCTCGGGGGCAACCCTCCTCCAGGGGGGCTGCTGGAGAGGAGGGGGTCACAGGGGGAGGCAAGGCTGGGGGCAACGGCACGTGTGCCCACAGAGAGAGCTCTGAGTGCTGCCTCTGGCACCCGTGCCATAGGTTCTCCATCACTGTCCTAGGATTTCTCTGAACTATTCAAATACAGAATGGGAAGCACGGATTCTTTAACAAGCTACTTTCTTGAAATCAACACAAACCGTAGCCATTTACTAACGGGGATGTGGTTTGACGGTAAAGTACTTTTAAGTTTTGAAAAGCTGCACCTTAAGTCAGGTAGCTGCAGAAACCCAAAGTCATTCTGACATTAAGACTTATTATGGCCTTTGACTGCAGCTCGAGAATGGAAAACGCTTTCAATAGTCTTGGGTAAGTATTGGAAGAATAACAAGAATACTTCCAGCAAAATGCTTAATTACAATTTGCAAACTCCACATTTTTGGCAGCTCTAGCACCGCAGGGAGACTGCAACACAAGAAAACCAAAAGAAAACCTTTGCTGCCAGCGTTTTTTTTTTTTCAGTTAAACGTTTCGTTAACTTCTCTAAAGTTTAAAAATTAAAGTGAAAAACCAGGATTACCCAACCTGGCTTGCAATATCCAGACTACCATGAGGGGGCAGAAGACGAGACAGGAGACACCGGAGGCAAATGTGGGGATTTTTTTAACAGAATAACAGACTCGGAAGGGATCTCCTAGGCCAGTGGTTCTCAACCTTTTTAATGCCCCAACCCCCAACCGGTCGTTAAGTCGAGGACTACTCAACCGGTCGTAAGTCGAGGACTACTCAACTGGTGCAGCACCGTTTGCAGAATGGGACTTTTGGCGGGCTCAGCAGGGCAGAGACAGCCTGGACAATTCCTATTGGCTTTTGAAAGCCAATAGAATTAGACTCTATTCAAGAGAGTCTATTCTATTGGCTTTCAAAAGCCAATAGAATAAAAGGGAGTAGCACAGCTAAGGAAAAGGGGAAAAAAATGGCGGACTGCGTTGTTTGGCGACCCCTGTGAAATGGTCATTCGACCCCCAAATGGGGTCCCGACCCACAGGTGGAGAACCACTGTCCTAGGTCATCTAGTCCAACCCCACCACTCAAGTGCCAAGCCTGACGTTCCAGTTCTGAAGGCCGACTGAAAATTGGCATCCTTTGAATAGGTCCCAAACCAGAGCGACCCAAGTCGTGATAAAAAGCACCCAGGACTTCTGCAGAATTGCAACCGGCTGAAGAACTGTGCAATGCAGCTTCTTTGGGGAAAAGCCTGGCCCGCAAGATCCAGGGGGAAAGCCCATTCAATCAAGCTTCCCCCCTTCCCCTTAACTGGAATGCTACTTTGGGAATAATTACCACCCACCCCTGCAGACTACGACTAACGAGCGGGTTCCTAGTCCTGGTTGCGTCTTCTTTGCCAAGTTGCCAATTCCTCCCTAAAGTCGTTGCTTTGCAAAGGGACCCTTTTAATTGAAGCATATTCCATTCTTGGTGCATCCACGCACGCACACACACACACACACACACACACACACATGCCCCCCCCCGTTCCCGCGCAAAAGCCAAAGCCGGTTTTCCTCGGAAACCCCCCCCCCCATCCAGATTCAGCGCCAAGTCCAGCCGGTCGAGTTCAAAGCAGCGCAGAGCAATCCTATAGATTGTCTCCCCCCCCCAACCCACCCACCCACCCCTTTTTTTTTTCCTGGCGTGGAATTCCCTTGCGGGAATCCTGTAAAAGAGGGACGGTGCCTCCCGGCCCGGCGCGCGCACACACACCACACCACACCACACCGCACACACACAAACGACTCCCAAAAGTTGAGCGGAGTTGGGTTTTTGTTTTTGTTTTGAATCTCCCTCGAGCCCTCAAAGTCTGCCCCGTTTGCTCCCGGAGGCAAGGCGAGCGCTCTGCACGCGCTCAGAGGCCTTGGGCCCAGGACACGCGCTCGCTCGCAGAAGCAATGAGGGTGGGGGTGGGGGTTACAGGAGGAGAGGAGCTTCCGTTTCCCCGGCTCGGCCCCCCTCCCCACCAGACACAGAGACACCCCCTCCCCACCGGACAGAGAGACATCCCCTCCCCACCGGACACAGAGAGATACCCCCTCCCCACCGGACACAGAGACACCCCCCTCCCCACCGGACACAGAGACAACCCCCCTCCCCACTAGACACAGAGACACCCCCCCTCCCCACCGGACAGAGACACCCCCCTCCCCACCAGACACAGAGACACCCCCCTCCCCACTAGACACAGAGACACCCCCCTCCCCACCGGACAGAGACACCCCCCTCCCCACCGGACACAGAGACACGCCCTCCCCACCGGACACAGAGACACGCCCTCCCCACCGGTCACAGAGACACCCCCTCCCTACCAAACACAGAGACACCCCCCTCCCCGGCCTTCGCCGTGCTGGGCCGCTCGACTTCCCCCGCCACTGCCGCAGAGCGCACCCCTCCGGGAAAGTCGCAAAGTTGGTCTCCGGATGCTACGACCCCCCCCCCCACCCACCCCACGGTCCCTTGTCCTGCCCGGCCCGTCCCGTCTCCGTCCCCGTCCCCGTCCCCGTCCCCGGCCTTACCTTGCTTGACACACTTCAGCCGGACGGGGTCTTTGCAGTGCTTGATGACGGCCAGCACATCCCGGATGGTGAGGCCGGCCACGGGGGTCTCGTTCACCTCCAGCAGCAGCTCCTCGGCCACCAACTTCCCGCCGCTCTCGTAGACCACCTTGCCGGCCTTGACCTCCCCCAGGTAGGGGAACTGCCCGTTCTCGGCTCCCCCCTTCAGCTCGAAGCCCAGCTGGCCCTCGGCGTTCCTCACCACCGCGCACTCATGGACCCGGCTCGTCCAGTGGTTTTTCTTCTTCAAGCCCTTGGACATTGCCGTGGGGGGAGAGAGAGAGAGAGAGAGCGAGGCGCCGGCTGCTTCCCTCCCGGCCTCGGGGTGTCCTTGGAGTTTCCCTTGCGCGGGGACTGGGGGGGGAGGGAGGAGGAGGAGGAGGACCAGCGGAGGAGGAGGAGGAAGGAGGAGGAGGAGGCGGGGAAGGGCTCGGCGGGGCGGGGGTCTGCTGCTGCTCTTCCCCGGCGTCTGGCTCGGCGGCGGATGGAGAGGAGAGGAGAGGAGGAACGGGGAGGGGGTGAGGAGGAGGAGGAGGAGGAAGAAGAACGAGGAGGGGGAGGAGGAGGAACGGGGGGGGTTGAGGAGGAGGAGAAGGAGGAGGAAGAACGAGGAGGGGGAGGAGGAGAACGGGGAGGGGGGGTGAAGAGGAGGAGGAGGAGGAAGAACGAGGAGGGGGAGGAGGAGGAACGGGGAGGGGGTGAGGAGGAGGAGGAAGAACTAGGACGGGGAAGAGGAGGAGGAGGAACGGGGAGGGGGTGAGGAAGAGGAGGAAGAACGAGGAGGGGGATGAGGAGGAGGAAGGGGGAGAGGGTGAGGAGGAGGAAGAACGAGGAAGGGGATGAGGAGGAGAAAGAGGAAGAACGGGGAGGGGGGTAAGGAGGAGGAGGAAGAACGAGGAGGGGGATGAGGAGGAGGAGGAACGGGGAGGGGGAGGAAGGAAGAGGAAGGCGGGGAGGGGAGGCCGGTCCCCCCCCCCCGAGCTCGCTCTAGCGGCGGGCGAGACGGGAGCCGCCGCGAGCCAAGGCAGCAGCCGCTGCTGCAGCCTCCGCCGCCGCTGGGATGCTAGCTGGCTGGCAAGCGAGCGAGCGAGCGAGCCCGGAGGACGCCTGGGCTCCTCTCCTGCCTCCCTGCCTGCAGGCGAGCGAGCGAGCCAGCGAGCGACACTAGTGCTACAGTAAGTGGCGGGCCGAGGGTGGGCTGTGCACCGCTGGAAGGGAGGCGGGGGCGAGCCGGGCTGGCCGGCCTGACAGAGGCGCTCTCCGCCGCCGCCGCGCTGACCCGGTAGTGAAGACCGGAGGAGAGGCTGCCTGCCCGCCTGGCAGAGCCACAGCGGGGAGGCGAGCAGAAGGCGGAGAGCAGCCAGCGGTGGGTGGGGAGGGAGGCGGGCAGCGGGGAGGAGGAGGAGCGGGAAGGACCGGCTGCTGCGCCGCCGAAGCGGGCGGGCGGAGGAGTGGGAGAGAGGGAGAGAGAGAGAGAGAGCCGCAGGCGGCGCCACGGTTCGACCCCGCCGGCGGGGACGCGCGCTGACCCTCGGCTTCTCGCCTCTCCCCCACCCCCGCCCTGGGCGCGCGCCGGGAGGAACTCACCGTCTCCCCTTCCTGCCTTCCTCGCTCGCCCCCTCCCCTTCTGTCCTTCTCCCCCCCCCTCACACCCACACCCACACTCACACACACACACACCAGCCCCGGGGTCTTTGCCGCGTTGGGGGGAGGGAGGGCTGCCGTCCTCTCCAAAGGGGAGGAGGGCAAGTGGCCACTTTGTCCAGCCCTTTCACTTTCTCTGGCTCTCTGGGAGTGAACTATCTATCTATCTATCTATCTATCTATCTATCTATCTATCTATCTATCTATCTATCTATCTATCTATCTATCTATCTATCTATCTATCTATCTACCTATCTACATCCACCCACCTACCTACCTATCTGTATATATATAGATAGATACAAAGACCTATAGATACAGATATATATATCTGTATCTGTCTATCTCTGTCTGTCTCTACCTATTTATCTGTCTATCTGTATATATATCTATCTATATCTGTATCTGTCTATGTCTGTCTCTACCTGTCTGTCTCTGTCTGTCTATCTGTATCTCATTCTATCTATCTATCTATCTATCTATCTATCTATCTATCTATCTATCTATCTATCTATCTATCTATCTATCTATCTATCTATCTATCTATCTATCTATCTATCTATCTTACCTAACTACCTACTTACCTACCTATCTACCTACTTGTAGATATATATATTTGTATCTGTCTATCTCTGTCTGTCTCTACCTATTTATCTGTCTGTCTATCTCAGTGGTTCTCAACATTTTTAATGCCGCGACCCCCAACCGGTCATAAGTCGAGGACTACTCAACCGGTCGTAAGTCGAGGACTACTCAACTGGTGCAGCACCGTTTGCAGAATGGGACTTTTGGCGGGCTCAGCAGGGCAGAGACAGCCTGGACAATTCCTATTGGCTTTTGAAAGCCGACAGAATTAGACTCTATTCAAGAGTCTATTCTATTGGCTTTCAAAAGCCAATAGAATAAAAGGGAGTAGCACAGCTAAGGAAAAGGGGGGGAAAAATGGCGGACTGCGTTGTTTGGTGACCCCTGTGAAATGGTCGTTTGACCCCAAATGGGGTCCTGACCCACAGGTTGAGAACCACTGGTCTATCTGTATCTATCTATCTATCTGTCTATCTATCTGTATCTGTCTATGTCTGTCTCTACCTGTCTGTCTCTGTCTATCTATCTATCTATCTATCTATCTATCTATCTATCTATCTATCTATCTATCTATCTATCTATCTACCTACCTACCTACCTACCTATCTATCTATCTATCTATCTATCTATCTCTATCATCTGTCATCTCTATATACATCTATATCTGTCTCTTTCTGTCTGTCTGTCTGTCTCTATCTATATCTATCTCTAACATCTGTCATCTCTCCCTCTCTCTCCCTCCCTCCCTCCCTCTCTCCCTCCTGTTCTAGACCTGGGAGAGTCCAGGCTCAGCAGGGGAAGGTTCCTCTCGCGGCATTCGCCCCTCCCTTCTCCGGCCCCATCGGTCAGGCCAAGCATCCTTGCCGGGCCCTTGGTGGGAAGGAGAGAATGGACCTTTGGGTGGTTAACCTTGCTTTTTTAAGATCCCTTTTGAGCATTGGGTGGGGAACTCTACAAATGTAATAAATAATAAAACAAATGACTCTTGGCTGCTCCGTTGCACAAGGTGCTTGATCTAGCTTGAGGAAAGGATGGGGTGAGGGTTAGATTAGTTCAGTGGTGGCGAACCTATGGCACGGGTGCCAGTGGCGGCACTCAGAGCCCTCTTGGTGGGCACGCGCGCCGTTGCCCCAGTCCTAAGCCTTCAGCTGAGTTTTATAAAACCTTTTCGCTTTAGGCATCCGCCGCCATGTGCGAAAAAAAAAAAAAAGCTTCAATCAGTCAATTTCAACTTCTCGCAGGAAAAAAAAAATCTTGCAAAGTTGGAATTGATTGATTGAACTTTTTAGTCCCACCCAGTCTGCCGTTACCACCGCAGCCACGCCCACCTAATGGGCCACACCCAGCCAATGGGCCATGCCCAGCCAATGGGCCACACCCACCCAATGGCCACACCCACCTGGCACCCGACGATGCCCAAATGGGTTTTGGGTTGCAGTTTGGGCACTCGGTCTCTAAAAGCTTTGCCATCACTGGATTAGTTTGTCTAAAAAGGGGTCTTTTATCTGGGTGCATTTATTCATTTCATCCCATTGATATGCACCCGCCAAGCGACTCTGGACGTTGGTCAACTTTAAAAGCTGCCAAAGAAATGTGCGTAATACAAATGCTGCAATGTATGAAAAACCACTGCAAAAAAAGAGAAAGAAACTCAGAAAAGGAAAATAACACATATCGCACATACGATATTTAAATACAATAACTGATCAATTGATCTCCCACAGTATCTTCCTGACTGAGGTGCAGGATAGTTTCCAAGCTAGTAACATTGAGACCCTGAGTTCTAGTCCCACCTTAGGCATGAAGCCAGCTACATTACCTTGGGCCGGCCACTCTTTCTCAGCCCTAGGAAGCAGGCAATGGCACACCACTTAGGAAAAAACCTTGCCAAGAAAACTGCAAGAACTGGTCCAGGCAGTTCCATGAGTCAAGACTAAATAAAGGCATCAAATGCGCACACAAACACTCATGAAGCATCAGCTTATCATTTCTGCCATCCTAACTCTGTTCAATACTTCCAACGGCACTTTCTAGGGATTTTAAAAATGCCGGTAGCACCATCTCGTCCTCAAATTGATGATATTTTCTCAAATTGACTAACCCTAACCCATAACCTGATGTACCTGACAGGATATATTAACAATGCAGGTGAAATAAATACTTAATTTTTTTAGTACAATCCGCCCTTTGACATCCCATGACTATCCTATTCTACGGTGAAAATGTCCATGGATGGAGTGTATGTGTATCTATTTGTCTGTCTGTCTATCTATCTATCTATCTATCTATCTATCTATCTATCTATCTATCTATCTATCTATCTATCTATCTATCTATTTCTATTTATCATCCATATAGGTTTCATCTATCTATCTATCTATCTATCTATCTATCTATCTATCTATCTATCTATCTATCTATCTATCTATCTATCTATCCATCCATCCATCCATCCATCAATTCCCCCTCTCTAGCATCTATTTCTATTTATCTATCATTCATATAGCTTTCATTGGTCTATCTATCTATTTTTCTGTCTATCTATCTATCTATCTATCTATCTATCTATCTATCTATCTATCTATCATTTATCAGTTTAATAATTAAAAGTGGATGCCTTTATTTCATTTTACTACAGTTCTATATCCACATCACTGTAAACAAGCTTGATTCATTAATATTATATGAATTTTCCAGTACAAACCTGGTGGCTTGACCATATGACTATTATGTTTCATATCTCGTTATTTCAATGATATATATCCTGTCTGTACAGGCTTTGGGTTATTTTTACAATGTTTTCATTTTAAGACCCTTCAACAACAATATGAGCCCGTGTTGTTTATTAAGTTGTTACAGTGATACTATTTTAGAAAATTGCCTGCCAATTATTTTGTTGTCAGAGGAGCAATAGTTTTGCAGTTATAAAACCAAGAGAAAAATTAGCACCTTGGTTAAATGTTTCACACAACCGAAGGATTTACCAAATCCTCAGTTTAACACAAAAGCAGGGATATTTAAACTCATCGTCAAACTGAAGATTGATCGTCCATTGTAAAATTCTTCGAATAACAAAATGATAGATACTGAAATTTCAAACATCTCCTTGACCAGGTCACACATACTATCAATCTTTCTAATGGATAGAAAAGTTTTCCTTACTACCTTACTCTGCTTTATAGCACCATGCAAATGAAGTAATCAAGCAAAAATCACCTTAAAAACATGAACGGTTTAAAATGCCCAAGTAGATGCTTTGTGTCATCTACAACGGCACTGTGAGTAACCTCTCTAGGGACAACATGTCACAGCCAATACGCTCCTGCTCAAAAAAATCCTGATTATTTATCATCCCAGTAGCACTGAGTGAAAAATCGGGATAGAAAAGGCACGATTGGGCTGGTGTGGAACTGAAATTATTGTGATGGGGTTTTAAAGGAATTTAGGAACATCCCAGGAGATATTGGCTTTAAACAAAGAACACGCCTGGATTTCTCGTGGGGAGGGGGCTACACGCAAATCAGTTCAGAGGTAAGCTTGAGTTAAACTGGACTTCATGCCAAATAAACACTGAAACTTCTGCAAGAAAACCACCAAGCTCAGAGAGCACTAAGGATACTAAAGTCCTTGTCCTCCACCAAGGACTCCACAGTTGTTGTTGTTGTTGTTGTTGTTGTTGTTGTTGTTGTTCTTCTTCTTCTTCTTCTTCTTCTTCTTCTTCTTCTTCTTCTTCTTCTTCTTCTTCTTCTCCTCCTCCTCCTCCTCCTCCTCCTCCTCCTCCTCCTCCTCCTCCTCCTCCTCCTCCTCCTCCTCCTCCTCCTCCTCCTCCTTTTCCCTGCAAAGACCACTCCCTTCTAGCACTGATGGTTACCTAGTTGGGTCATGAAACATCTGCAAGAAAACCATCAAGCTCAGAGAGCCTAAGGATACTAAAGTCCTTGTCCTCCACCAAGGACCCCACAGTTGTTGTTGTTGTTCTTCTTCTTCTTCTTCTTCTTCTTCTTCTTCTTCTTCTTCTTCTTCTTCTTCTTCTTCTTCTTCTTCTGCTTCTTCTTCTTCTTCTTCTTCTTCTTCTTCTTCTTCTTCTTCTTCTTCTTCTTCTTCTTCTTCTTCTTCTTCTTCTTCTTCTCCTCCTCCTCCTCCTCCTCCTCCTCTTCCTCCTTTTCTTTGCAAAGACCACTCCCTTCTAGCACTGATGGTTACCTAGTTGGGTCATGAAACATCTGCAAGAAAACCACCAAGCTCAGAGAGCACTAAGAATACTAAAGTCCTCCTCCTCCTCCTCCTCCTCCTCCTCCTCCTCCTCCTCCTCCTCCTCTTCCTCACTGCAGACCTCACTTCCTTCCAGCACTGATGATGTTACCTAGTTGGGTAATGAAACATCCACAAGAAAACCACCAACCTTGGAGAGCACCAAGGATCTCCACAGTTCAACCGTGAGCTACATATCTTCTCTTATATTGAAGCATCCAGAGAAATACAGTCATATGAGAGATCTAATATTTCCTACCCAGGTCAATATGAATGTCCGCACTCCTATGACACACCTAAACTTGGATCCATTTTGTGGAGATGACTGTATCGTTAGAAATCTCACCAGGTCTTCTGAATCTTGCTTGAGCAAACTGGTAGTTATTTAATCTCCATTCACTGTACCGGTAAAGGAGCATATTGGTGCTCTCTGAGCTTGGTGGTTTCCTTGCAGACGTTTCATGACCCAACTAGGCAAACGTCATCAGGGCTAGAATGGAGTGGGGTTTGCTCTCATTTTACATTTGGTGACCCACACTGACGGGGCCAGCCAGAATGTCAAATGAGAGCAAACCACACTCCTTCTAGCACTGATGATGTTACCTAGTTGGGTAACAAAAAGTCTGCAAGAAAACAACCAAGCTCAGAGATCACGAAGGACTTCATAGTCCTTCTCTTCTCCTCTCCGCAAGCCCTACTACAACTGATAGTGTTATCTAGTTGGGTAATGAAACATCTGCAGGAACACAACCAAGCTCAGAGGTTACAAGGACCCCAGATCCTCATATTCCTCCTCCTCCTTCTCCTCCTCCTCTTCCTCTTCCTATTCCTATTCCTACTCCTTCTCTTCTCCTTTTTCTCTATTCCACAAATCCCTCCTCTCTTCTAGCACTGATAATGTTACCTAGTTGGGTAATGAAACGTCTGCAAGAAAACCACCAAGCTCAGAATGCACCAAGGACCCCCACAGTCATCCTCTTCTCCTCTGTGCAAGCCCTACTCCCTTCTAGCACTGATGATGCTACCTAGTTGGGTAATGAAATGTCTGCAGGAACACAACCAAGCTCAGAGAGTTACAAGGACCCCAGATCCTCCTATCCTTCCTCCTCCTCCTCCTCCTCTTCCTATTCCTACTCCTTCTCTTCTCCTTTTCCTCTACTCCACAAATCCCTCCTCTCTTCTAGCACTGATAATGTTACCTAGTTGGGTAATGAAATGTCTGCGAGAAAACAACCAAGCTCAGAAAGCACCATGGACCCTTCATCTCTTCTCTGTTTTTAGCACATACCGTACTTTCTGGCGTATAAGACGACTTTCGCAAGCATTAAAATTGGCGCCGAAGTCGGGGGTCATCTTATACGCCGAGTCGTCTTATACGCCGGAAATAACAGTAGTTTCCGGCGTATAAGACGACTTTCTAGGCATGCGACTCGGCGCCATAGTCGGGGGTCGTCTTATACACCGGGTCGCCTTATACGCCAGAATATATGGTAATTTAAGTTGAAGATGATCTTATGAACTGGTGAGATATTCTCATTTGGCACTTTCCATATCCTGGACTGTTGTTATTCAACGATTCCATGTTAAATGGAAAACATTCCACAAACTGAAGGGGTATCGCCCTTCAGAAACATACTCTCAGTCTTAGAACGGACTGGATATGCAAATGTGCCAAAAAAAAAAAAAAATTCCCTCTGTGTGCTACCATGAGTAAGATTAAGGATGCATGAAGGTGTTTGTTTTCACTATCACTCTTGTTAGCAACTTAAAACATGGGCCTACACTTCTTCCTGTCTTAGCCGTGGTTTCATTTGAAAAGAATCTGCTGCCGAACACCGAAATTCTTTAACAGATTCTAGTAATGTATTTTTAATAAAGAGTTAAACAGATGAAATTGTTCTCCCCCCCCCCCGAAAATTACTGCAGGACTGCCGCATCTAAGCCGCATAAATCTGACTGGCCACGAGCCTTAGGAAAGAAATATAGAAAGCTAGCATTTTACTGCCATACAGATTTTTTGCAACCAAGTGGAGTAGGTCAGTGGGAAAATTTGAGTTTCCTGAAAGTTTTGTGGAGAAGAGGCAATTTTTTCTTTTCCAGGGTATTTAGCTGTTTTCCCTTGAAATTCGGATTTGTGCTTGGTTTAGAGTTCTGAAATCAATAAGAAAGTTAGTCAGAACTACAGTAACTGAAATCCCGCTGATAAAACATCTTCATGTTTTATTGTAGCACAGGCTTTGATGGATAGGCTAAAATAAGTCAACCCAGCTGATCACATATGAAACCAGGTTGATCAGATATGAGACTGAATCTTGAGCTTTAAGAGCAGATGTATATATCAATAGAATGTATTGTGAACAATTGCAAGATTGTGTTAGGTGAGAAAGATCACCTGTGAAGTTCAAATTTAATTGATTTATTGCTCATGTCTATGGACAAGAATCTACTCAACTAATGTTTAGCACTAGATGAAGTTGTGGGAATGTAGAGATTCTAGGCTGATTCCTCTTTTGACTCTACCCCCAGATTCTGTCACTCTTTCCCTTACACCAGACATGTCAAACTTGCGACGTCACGTGACATCACGCAACGTATCGGGACAGTTTTGCCATTGCTGGAAATGGGGTGGGCGCAGCTTCCATGTGACACGTTCCACCCATGGGCCGACAGTTTTACACCCCTGCCTTACACACTGTGATGTAAGCTTTTCCCCTTTTGTGTATGCATTCTGACATTGCATGAAATCAGCAGAGCTTTCTTCGGGATGACACAATGCTACGTTCATCATTTTGTCAAAAGGAACCAGAACCAGAACAATATGATGATGGCTCTTGTCAATGATTGACTTTTCAGTCCATTAGAAGATGTGAGCGTTCAGCATCAACACTTTGTGATTACAACTGAAGACAATGCTTTTGACCTGTCTTTTTCCCGCCTTCTTAAACAACCTGCATCTACTTTGAACCCCCCAAAAAATCTTCATTTGCATCACTACAATGTTCCTACTATGACGTAAGTTAACCCCTCCAGTTTATCCTTGCTAGAAACAATATACTTCTTCTGGACTTTAAGGAACCCTGGAATGGCATATGTTCACATGTTAAATAAGATTCAGGTATAGTTTTCATGAGAACAGCACAATAAAAAAACACCAAGGAATAAACAGCCAGCTGTGTGCTGCAACTGCCAAAAAAGCTAAAACAGTGCTAGGCTGCATTGACAGAAGGATAAAATCAAGATCATGTGAAGTGTTAATACCACTTTACAAGGCCTTGGTAAGGCCACACTTGGAATCCTGTATCCAGTTTTGGTCACCACGATGTAAAAAAGAGGTTGAGACTCTAGAAAGAGTACAGAGAATAGCAACAAAGATGATCAGGGGACTGGAGGCTAAAACATACAAGGAACGGTTGCTGGAATTGGGTCTGTCTAGTTTAATGAAGAGAAGGACGAGGGGGGACATGATAGCAGTGTTCCAATATCTCAGGGGCTGCCACAAAGAAGAGGGAGTCAAGCTATTTTCCAAAGCACCTGAAAGCAAGACAAGAAGCAAGGGATGGAAACTAAACAAGGAGAGAAGCAACCTAGAACCAAGGAGAAAGTTTCTGACAGTTAGAACAATTAATTAGTGGAACAACCTGCTTCCATAAGCTGTATATGCTCCAACACTGGATGTTTTTAAGAAGAGACTGGACAACCATTTGTCTGAAATGCTACAGGGTTTCTTGCCTGAGCAGGGGGTTGGACTAGATGACCTCCAAGGTCCCTTCCAACTTTATATTATTGTTATATTATCTTTTATTCATTAAACATGAACCTCAGTCAACTGAGCATTCAAATTGGCTTATCATAATTATCATAATTCAATTATTATTATTACTACTACTATTATTATTACTACTACTACTATTATTATTATTATTATTATTATTATTATGGAGGATCATTGCGCAGTCAGCCAGATGTTCAGACTGGATTTGGCATTTTTGTCTACCTATCGAGTCCTTACCAAGGACCTGGGATAGACAGTTGTGGATGTTGGATGGTATTACAGACATCGTCGCAGGATGGAAGCAGTTCCTAGTAAGGCTGCCTTTTGCAATTGACTAATGGCAAATTTGTCAATGCCAATGGTGTTCAAGTGGCGCTCTAGTTGTTGTTGTTATTATTATTATTATTAAACAATACCCCGTTAAGGAACTATCAACTCAGGAAATATCTGCCTAATCAAGACACTCCCCAGAACACTATCATCACTGACAGGGGAAGCCACAACATAAACAGAGAGTAAACCCCACCGACTTCTCTAGCACAGATTACGTTACCTAGTTGGGTAAGGAAATGTCTACAAGAAAACAACCAAGCTCAAACAGCATGAAGGAAGCCACAGTGAAAAGTGTGCAAATCCTCTGCTAAGTTTTCTTATCCAAAGCCAACCTTGGCGTTTTCTCTTACAGGTAGTCCTTAACTTATAACCGTTCATTTAGTGACCGAAAGTTACCACTTACAATTCTTGCAACATCCCCACGATGACACGATCAGAATTCACGCACTTGGCAACCTGAATGTATTTATGATGGTTGCAAGTGTAATTTTTCATTGTTAACCTTCCCAACTGACTCTTAACAAGCAACGTCAAAGGGAGAAGCTTGGCTTGCTTAACTGCCCCACAATTCACTTAACAATGGGTGCGAGTTGCTTAACTCTTGTCAAGGAAGGTTGTAAAATCATGGATAATTCATTTAGCAACTGCCTTAATTAGCAGTGGACATTCTGGGTGCTAATTGTGGCTGTAAGTTCAGTACTATCTGTATTAAAGTTTGTGAGCAAACGTCAGCTGAGCAGGTCCTTTGTTTTTTGTTTTTTAGATAATTGCCCTGATCTGATGTAAACATTATACCGTACTTCTGCAGAGTTTGGAGAAAAATAGTTGCCTTGCTAGCATTAGCAGTGACATGAGCTATGTTCCTGGTTTGCAAGCAAGCAGCCAAGTCTTTAGATAAGAATCTTAAGAATGCTAGCTGGAATCATATTCAACTAATACTCCCAAACCATAATTGCATTTTTAAAGCTTTTCCTGGTACTACATGGCAATCCGACAAAGCCGGATAGCAATCTTAGATAGCCTAAGGGGGGGTTATATTGAATGGAACTGCCAGCTACTGACTTGAAAATTGCAGCCCCAAAAAATCCAGTCAGAACAAGGTCCCGTTTTTGCAGATGGCGGTGGTGGTACCCAATCCTTGCAAGACACTGCAACAATTATACAACACTGGTCCCAAGGCCTCTTTAACGAGAGAAGCTATCAAGTCAAGCAAATATAGGAGCTGCAAAAAAATAAAGATCTAGCGAAAGATCTAGAGCAGGGGTCCCCAACCCCCATCCGTGGACCAGCACTGGGCCACATCAGGCCAGCAAATGGTCTGCACAAACAAGCAAAGTCCCATCCACGGGATGCAGGCAGCACACAAAACCACGCACCCTCCAGCCCACGGAAAAACCTCTCTCCACATAACTGGACCCTGGTGTCCAAAAGGTTGGGACCTCTGGAGTGTGCTAGATAGGCCTAGCACAGTGGTGGTGAACCTATGGCACACATGCCAGAGGCGGCACTCAGAGCCCTCTCTGTGGGCACACACGCCATGCCCTGGAGATGGCAACTGCCCCTCTTCAACCAGCCCCCCACTAACTCACTGAGGTCCCACGTGGCCAGATGCATCCCAGCATGGCTGGTTTCCCTCCCCCCATCCCCTCCCTCTTGGCCTCGCATGCTCTCCCTCTTCTGGGCACAACCCACTGCATCGCCTCCTCAGCTGTTGGCCGGCTGTCCAGCTCAGAGGCGGATTCTCTGAACTGCTAGCGGTGGGCTGTGGAGCCCGAGAGTGTGCCGGTCGAGGGGCCGGCAGGCTGTGGCTGCTGACAGACACCGTCGGCCCCCACGCGCTCGCTGGCCTCTGTGTGCGGGGGCCGATGGTGTCAGGCAGCAGCAGCCCCGGCCCCTGCCTCGCCTTGCCCTGCGACAATGGCACCCCCACCCTGCCTTGCCTTGCCTTGCCTCACCCCGCAGGACGAGTTTCCTGCCCACCGCCCCACCTGCCAGAGACCCCCTGGATCTCCCCCAACCCTGCCCGTCCCCCACAGGCATCCCTCCCCACGAGCAACATCAAGGTGACCATGCCCACCTTGGCCACACCCACCCAGTCTGCCATGACCACCACAGCCATGCCCAGATGGTGGGCCACGCCCACCTGGCACCCGGCGATAAATAAGTGGGTTTTGGGTTGCAGTTTGGGCACTCGGTCTCTAAAAGGTTCACCATCACTGCAGTAGGTCGTGCCTGGGAAAAGGAGAGCATGCAAGGCCAGGAAGGATGGGATGGAGAGAAACCAGCTGTGCTGGGATGCATCCGGCCACGTGGGACCTCAGCGAGTTAAAGGGACGGTTGTCATCTCTGGGGCATGGCACGCGTGCCCACAGAGAGGGCTCTGAGTGCCACTTCTGGCACGTGTGCCATAGGTTCGCCACCACTGATCTATACTATTTCAGACAAGTGACTGTTTAGTTTCTTCTTAAACACCTCCAGTGATGCCATACCCAATTCCATATGTTTTAGCCTCTAATGCCCTCATCTTCTTTGCTGCTCTTATCTACATTCTTTCCAGAGTCTCAACTTTATTTTTTTTTATAGCATGGCGATTTTCCCTCAAGGATGATTACATGTTTCCCTGTTTCATCTCCCCTGCAATCATATAGCTATTGTGTCTTCACCCAAACAGCCCTTGATTACATCTTCATGTCAATCCACTTATCTTCTTCGACTGAAAGTTATCCTTTTGCAATTGGGTGAGCTGGCATCTGCAGAGAAAAATCAGGGATCCCATCCTCTGGTCCCCCTCCTCTAATTTTTCATTAGAAAAATAATTACAGTCGTTTGCAGGAATGCACAGCAACTGTTTCCAGTATAGCAATGGTTTTTTCTGCGCAGTATATAATATAGTGCAATATAAGCATTTTCTCTGCTGCATCTCCTGATCAGCCCAATTAATTGTCCGGTTGTTCAGTTCCACTCAGAATGCTAATATACAGTAGTGGCCAAAATTGTGGAAACCTTTTGGGAAAAGTGTATTTTTGAGGTTTGATGGCTAATAACACCACTTTCTTTTCAGAGTACTACCATAAAGTTATATATCAATGGAAAGATAATTTAATCAAGAATGTACAGTCGTGGCCAAAATGGTGGAAACCTTTTGGGAAAAGTGTACAGTAGAAATGCCACCTTTGGTTAAGTTTCCACCCATTTTTCTTCTAATTTCTTTATAACTGTAGCCTTGTTCACTTAATAACCACTATTCTACATCACTTTCTGGGTGACCAGTCAACTCTTTGCACCATTCCTTTAATTTTATTACACTAAATGAAAGAACACAAAAAAATCCCCCAACCAACTTGATAGCCATCACATAACACACTGACCAATGTCCTCCTCTTAGCTTCAATACAGGACATCAATAACTGAATCCCACTTTGATCTGATTGGCTCATTGCCAAAACAAGAGGACACCCTATTGGCTCTGTAAACACTCATGCTCATTGGCTAAAATCAGATGAAAGAAAGCTACCTGACATCAACCTAAGCAAATTTGCTTCCTTTTTCTGGTAATTTGGCTATAACTTGTCATAGAATACAGTACAGATAATTGAACAAACTTTGTTACATTACATTCTTGATTAAATGATCTTTCCATTGATATATAATTTTACTGGTACTACTCCAAAAAGAAGTGGTATTATTAGCCATCAAACCTCAAAAATACCCTTTCCCCAAAAGGTTTCCACAATTTTGGCCACTACTGTAAGGCAACAACGTTTGTTCAGTTATCTGTTACTGTAATCTATGAAAAGTTATAGCCAAATCCTGCACTTCCCTGAGTAACTAATTCATATCTAGGACACAAACAATTGGGTCTCTTGCAAAAAGAGATTTCTGCAGTTTGCTTTGCTACCTCTATAATTCATCCTCCGTTTCCCCCCCACATACACACACACACTTCTACTCCTAGAATCAGAGTGGAAGATTTTTCAGATTAAAAGTTGACAGCGCCCTGGCTTTTAGTATGTCTCTTGATTTATGTACTTGCTGAAACTCTAGATGTACCTAACTTTCCAAATTGGCTTTTACTCGATCAGGACACCTGTTCAGCATCACGGCTGCAACACAGTCTCTCTATAGTATTATGCTCCTGCCATGGTGAAATTCCCAGCAGTCTACAGTGGAATGTGTGGACAACCTTGGGGGACCGGGAGCAGAGATGCTACCTTGGAAACCATCAGACAGAAGAAACAGGATCCCCCCAAAGATTAACAGTCAAAGGAAGAAAGTTAGGAAGGATCTGCCCTAATGGATCAAACAGCTCTATGTGGCGTGGGAAGTTTATATTTTGAGATTTGCAAGCTTCTGTTAATGTAGCTTTACAATAAAGTAAAACCAGCCAATCTACTTGTGCTTCCTGTCCTGTTGACCTGGGAGGGTTGACTTAATCCCTCGAAATAAGTACAGTAAAAGCAGGGGAAATTTCATCGCATTATAGGGCTTGTTGTTGTTAGTTGTGAAGTCATGTCCAACCCATCGCGACCCCATGGACAACGTTCCTCCAGGCCTTCCAGTCCTCTACCATCTTCTGGAGTCCATTGAAGCTCACGCCTCCTGCTTCAGGGACTCCATCCAGCCATCTCATTCTCTGTTGTCCCCTTCTTCTCTTGCCCTCCATCTTTCCCAGCATCAGGGTCTTCTCCAGTGAGTCCTCCCTTCTCATTAGGTGGCCAAAGTACTTGAGTTTCAACTTCAGGATCTGGCCTTCTAAAGAGCAGTCGGGGTTGATCTCCTCTAGGACTGACCGGTTGGATCGCCTTGCAGTCCAGGGGACTCGCAGGAGTCTTCTCCAGCACCAGAGTTCAAAGGCCTCCATTCTTTGGCGCTCAGCCTTTCTTATGGTCCAACTTTCACAGCCATACATTACAACTGGGAAAACCATGGCCTGGACTATATACACTTTACTGTTCATGGGGTTTTCATGGCAAAGATACTGGAGTGGGTTGCCATTTCCTTCTCCAGTGGATCACATTTTGTCAGAACTCTCTGCTATGACCTGTCCGTCTTGGGTGGCCCTGCACGGCATAGCTCATAGCTTCATTTGAGTTACACAAGCCCCTTCACCACGACAAGGCAGTAATCCATGAAGGAGATTATAGGGCTAGAGGGAACTTTAGAGGTCTTCTAGTTCAACCCTCTGGCAGGAGATCTTATTCCATCCCCAGCCAATGTCTTGGGGACAAGCAGTGACCCTCACAAATTAAAAAAAAAAATCAGGAAGTTCCTTCTAGTTTTAGCTTGGTCGCTACATCAGATGTGCTTGTTTATACAATTTATTGGTGTTGAGGGCTTCATCCTAATTGGCAAATGGTCCTAGTTTAGTCCCGGGGGCATTGAGCTATATGGGACTCCATGATGGGTTGCTGTCAACCCCCCCCCCCGCCCCCGAATGTCTGGGGTGTTAGAAAGGAAAGTGAACAAGTTAAGAAATTTAGAAATCCCAGCAAAACAAACTGGAGGATTACCTTAAAGCAGTGTTTCTTAACCTTGACAATTTTAAGGCATGTGGACTTCAACTCCCAGAATTCCACAGCCAGCATTGCTGGCTGTGGAATTCTGGGAGTTGAAGTCCACATGCCTTAAAATTGTCAAGGTTGAGAAACACTGCCTTAAAGGTATTGAGGCAAGCCTTGGGTGGCTTCAGACCTCTTCATCAGATTAGAGCAGGGGTGTCAAACTCAATTTCATTGAGGGCCGCATCAGCATTGCGGTTGCCCTCGGGGGGGGGGCAGGTGGGTGTGGCCAGTGTGGGTGCGGCCTACTGGGTGGGCATGGATGGAGTGGGTGTGGCCTACTGGGTGGGCATGGCCAGCTCTACATCTTTAGTGTCAAGGGTGCCTGTGGGGGCCTGGGCAGGAGTGGGACAGATCTGAGGGTCTCTGGCAGAAGGGGGTGGGACTGGGGCAAGCACCAAGGCATGGTCCATTTCTTCATTCCTTACAAAGGGGGACACCTCCCCAGCATGCACCCAGGGGGTGGGGCCGATGCGACAGGAGCTGGTTCCTTGCTGTTTCTAGACGGCCTTGTGGAGCTAAGACTGAATGTGTTTCAGCATAGAGGGCCACCACAAAATTGTACATTGGCTCCCGGCCGGCTGGACTGGGCCAGGGCCAAGGCAGCAGGGGCCGTTCCCTCACTGTTTCCAGGATGGCTTCGCGGGCCACATGAAACCATTTCGCGGGCCGCATCCAGCCCCCGGGCCTTGTGTTTGACATGTCTGGTGCAAAATAAGGGAGAAGAATAAATTCAGCCTGTCTGTCTGTCAAAAAAAACAAAGCTAGGGATATGATTTCAAGAGCCGCCCCCCCTTTTAAAAAAACAACCTCTGGGTTTTAAAATATTGTTAAATGTTCTGTCAGAATAGTGGTTCTCAACCTATGGGTCGCGACCCCATTTGGGGTCGAACGACCATTTTACGGGGGTCGCCAAACAATGCGATCCGCCATTTTTCCCCCTCAGGGGCGCTGCCGCGCATGCGCGCCGCGCATGGGGGCGCCGCAGTGCATGCGTGCCGCACATGGGGGCGCGTCCGTGTGACCGGGGGTCGCCGTATAAAAAGGTTGAGAACCACTGTGTCAGAACAATGCAGAATAAACTCATTTGCTTACAATACAAAAACAACCTCTGGGTTTTAAAATATTGTTAAATGTGTTCTGTCAGAACAATGCAGAATAAACTCATTTGCTTACAATACTTGGTCTCTACCAAAGATTCTATCTTTCCCTCTTCCATTCTATATCTTCCACTCCATGTTTGGAGACCCTGACCAAGGAACAGATAAAAAGTGTAAAACTCCAAAACAGCAACAAGAATTCCAAATTTTTGCAAGGATTACTCCAATGGCTCACAGTCCTGGGTTGCATACACAGAGGCGTAGAATCAAAATCACTTGAAGGTTGCCTAGCCCTGGTCTAGAACCATGGGCTCTTTCCAACAAAATGAATTTTCATGTGGAGAAAAGCAAGGTTTTACACTGAGGCAGGAAAAACCAAAGGTACAAGTACAGAGTCAGTGAAACATGGGTCAAAAACAGTAACTGTGAGAGGGACCTTGGAGTCCTAGTGGACAATCACTTAAACATGAGCCAGCAGAGTGCTGCAACTGCCAAAAAAGCTAATACAATCCTTGGTTGTATAAACAGAGGCATAGAATCAAAATCATTTGAAGTATTAGTACCGCTTTATAAATCCTTAGTAAGACCACACCTGGAATACTGCATCCAGTTTTGGTCACCCCATTACAAAAAAAGATGTTGAGACTTTGGAAAAGGAGCAAAGAAGAGCAACTGAGATGATTAAGGGCCTGGAGACTAAAACATATGAAGAACAGTTGCAGGAATTGGGTATGGCCAAGTCTAGAGAAAAGAAGGAAAAGGGGGGACATGACAGCAATGTTCCAATATTTGAGGTGCTGCTACAAAGAAGAGGTGGGGTCAACTTATTTTCCAAAACAGAGATAAAATGAGTTGTGACAACACTATATAATTGCATCCAAAGTTGCGTATACAGTGTGGCATGTGTGTAATTAGAGACACAGTGAAAAGGGATGAGTGTAATTGATGGTAGGAGCAATGCAATTTAGTTAAGGACTGGAAGCTCTTTGCAATGTATTTTAGAGGGGTGTCATGCTAGGTAAGATTTAACCCAGTTTCTTTTCCTGCTGCTTTGAAATTAATGTGTTCCTCATGTACTGCAGCACTAAGAAATCTAATGAGGAGCTACCTGGATCTGCTTTGTGTTACTCAGACAGCCAACAGCAGGCCATCCGTTCAATTTTAGAGCTTTGGAAAACAGGGCAGGGAAAGGATTTACTTGGATGACATCCTGCATTCCCCTCCAAAAGAGGGATCCGGTGAAAGCAACAAGCAAGATCAAGTTTATGTATTTCTTGGAATTATCCCAGCGCTATAATTGCACTTAATAATGAACTAAAGGGCCACCTTCAGTGAACTGTTGGACAATATTACTTGGTCTATTGGGTGGATGTTTGGGTGGTTTTAGGGGTGGGGAATTGTGGTGGGTGGGAGTGTGTTTGGGGATTATGTGTGTGGGACCTGGTCTTTGGGTGTCACGTAAATTTCATTGTATATGTATACTGTGTATACACATACAATGACAATAAAGTTTATTTATTTATTTATTTTATTTATCTACTAAGAGCAGGCCTGATCAGTGGCATTCGCAAGGGAGGCGTGCAAGCTGGGGGCAGATGACAAAAATCACTACTCAATCAACATGGTGCAGGCTCCTTTCCTCATGTGCTTCTGAAAGGGACAGAATTTGCCCTTCAGAATTTACACACAAGTTGCTGCCTTCATCACTTTAATGAAAGCAATGGAACTTGCAGACACCTCTGAGTTCAATATATGTGTCAGTCAGGGTGGGGGTTAAGCCTAAAGCAGAAATGACCGGTTGCAGGAACTGGGTATGTCTAGTCCAGGGGTAGGCAACCTTGGCTCTTTTATGACTCATGGACTTCAACTCCCAGAATTCCCGAGCCAGCATGGCTCAGCTTGGAAACCTCTCCCTTTCCCCTCAGCGTGGCTGGCTGAGGAATTCTGGGAGTTGAAGTCCACGAGTCATAAAAGAGTCAAGGTTGCCTACGTCTGGTCTAGGCCTAGGCTGCTTTCTGACTCGTGGACTTCAACTCCCAGAATTCCTCAGCCAGCCTGGCTCAGCTTGGAAACCTCTCCCTTTCCCCTCAGCATGACTGGCTCAGGAATTCTGGGAGTTGAAGTCCATGAGTCATAAAAGAGCCAAGGTTGCCTACCTCTGGTGTAGTCTAAAGGAGAGAATGATTAGGGGTGAAATGATAGCAATCTTCCAAGACTCGTCAAGGAGAGAAGAAGGGGTCAGCCTATTGTTAGCTATGTCCCCTCTCCCAAATTCTTGCAGACCCTCAACCCAGAATAGATTCTCTAAGTATCACTCCTTGGCACTTACCATCTGTCCATCTGAGATACATGCTTTATTATGCAGCAGATTGTAAGGGAAAGAGTGACAGAATCTGGGGGTGGAGTCTAAAGAGGGATCAGTCTAGAATCCCTACATAGCCACAAGCCAACTAAGTACAACTGCCCTTGAATTCCCTGGAACCTTATCTAATGCCTAGCAGGTGCTAATTATTAATGGAGAAGATTCCTGTTTATAGACTTTGAGCAATGAAGCACTCAGAATTAGAGCTTCATGGGTGGACCTGATCTTTTGTGCCTAACAGGCATCAAATGTTTCTACCAGTATCCAACCCTGTATTGGTGTTTCCTGCCCTTCCATTTGAGAGACAACGGCATCACGTTAAGCTGTAAAGTTTCTATGGAGATTCTCAGTCATCCCGACCAAGTTGTCCCA